TTGGTAGGGAGGGGACGTTCACCCGGCGGGATGGGGTATGCCGCCGGGTCCCCTCCTCTCTCCTGACACTGTCGGGCTCTCTGTCCATGACCGAGTGCCCCACTTTTTAGAGGGGGTGACACCAATCTGACTATCATTCATTTTGGTGTCACCCCTCCAATGGTGGCACCCGGGTGTGGGCCCCACCCCCCTTGTGACGTCACCGGTCAGGAGCACCTTGGTCATGAGAGCTTACAATCTAAAAGGGAGTCTATGTCATTGTTCTAAACAAAATACAAAAGAAAAGCAAAAACTGCTAAAAAAAAGATGAATAGAATAATTTAGAGGTGTAAGAGGAAGAGAAGAAGACATGGAGAGCCGCCGCTTGTCCCCACCTGCACGGTCATCTAATTGACGCCTGTCGGCGGCCATCTTTGTGATGGATGGGACGTTCACCTGGTGGGATGAGGTATGCCGCCGGGTCCCCTCCTCTCTCCTGACACTGTCGGGCTCTCAGTCAGTCATTTTGGCGTCACCCCTCCAATGGTGTCCCCTGGGTGCGGGCCGCACCCCCCTTGTGACGTCACTGAATGCTAGTATTTTACCCCCACCTGAGGCTGCCCTCAAAGCCCAAATGAAGTCAAACAAACAGATATGCTATCAGATGGGTGTTCTACTAACCTCCATTTTCATTTCCTACTGCAGCATCTGTGCAGGGAGTCTAAATAACTGAGCAGTCCAATAGGGACCCAATGCATCCTGTAATCAGCACTCAGTAACAGAGCTGGCCTTAGACGTCCCCTCTATTATATGCAATACAAGTAGTGTGTGTGTGTGTGTGTGTGTGTGTGTGTGTGTGTACTTGTGCTGAGAGGGGAGGCTGTTACTCAGCTCTGCTATTTTGGCATTTCCAAGCAGATATCAGCCAGGCATGACTACATACGGGGTACAGGACTGTTAAGAAATCAACACGAGTTTGTATCGTCATCAACAATATTAATAAGTATTTGTATTTTTTCCAGGCTGTTTCGGCCGCACACGCTCCCTATTTGCCCACCTTTCCCCACGATCCCTCCTGGTTGGCGCTGGTGCCGTGCTCGGTTGCAGCAGCAGACACCTACTCGAGGGTTCCCGGCTCTGTGGTGACGGAACTGATGGCACAGGACTTGGAGGAAGCCAGACTTAAGCTTCAGAACCTCAGCCCTGATCATCTTCTGCAGCAGGACGGAGACGGAGACACGTGAGTTCACCGATGGTCATAGGCTGAGATGGATCCACCATTAGGCAAGGCGGGTCTAGGTTACCGGCCGCATAGATTTCTGCTGTCATCAGTGGAAATACAGTTGGCGTGAGCTGATTTACACATCATCACAATGTCTAAGCCGGGCTAGGACTGGGGGAACCCGAAAATGGTATCGCAAAGGTTGCGTGCCTACAGGCACCAGCGGTGGAAATCTGACCCTGGCTACAGCCATGAAAATGTATTTGCCTGTTCTCTAGACATGTGTGAATTTTTCCGCTACTGAATCACAATGCGGACGAATTTTCTGAAGCTCGGACACATCTGAATTTCCCAATCCCAATGCACCTGAATGTGTCCGAATCTTGAATGTGTCCGAATCTTCCATTTACGAATTTCGTATCCCGTCCGAATTTCGTTCAAAGACGAAACTGAATCGGACATGTGACTTTTCTGGCCAATCAGATGTGTTTTTCGGTTTAATGCCCCCGAATGGGTCTGAACGCGAATATTCGTTACGACAACATGGGAGCCAAATACAGTATTTACATATAATACTAAAGCTGATGTACCCAGACACGAATGCAGAGCCGTAGCTAGTTCTTTTTGCGCCTGAGGCAAGAACAGAAAATTGTGCCCCCCAGCAGACATGTGCGGCATGTGACGTCATACGCCCCGCCTCCAGGATGGCAGCGCGCATGCGCAGAATGAGCTGGTGGCCAAATCCAAAATAGCATAAACATTTGTTTCGTTTGACAAAACTAACTTATTCTTCTCTTCTCTCCTGCCGAGCCGCAGCTGTGTTGGCCGCCTGGCGCCCCAGTTGCCAATGGCACCCTGTGCTTTCCATGGCAACAGGGGCGAGGGGGCGCAGCCAGGATGCCTCACTCGCCCCATGGCTGCCTCACTCGCCCCATGGCTGCCTCACTCGCCGCATGGTAGCTACAGCCCTGCCTGAATGGCATTCGGGATAGACATGCGCGATTCGTTTTGGAATGATTCATTATTCGGACGTATTTTCTGAAATTCGGAGATTCGCATGTATCCGAATTTCCGTATTTCCGAATGCAAATGAATCAGAATTTCCGATATCGAAATTCGTTGTTTTTTTTGTTCTCTAATGTCACTTTGGTGCAATGAAAATTCGTACAGACTACCGCTAATTAATTCTGTCCAAATCCGAATCCTGAAACTAATTGACTCTCGGACCCGAATCCCAAAAAACGAAATAACGCAAAATCTGAATGAAAATGAAACAAAATAATTTTTTTGCCAGTGCACATGTCTAATTCGGGAGTCCGAATTGCATTTCAGAGCTCCCGAATGCCATTCGGGTCTGGGAGTCTCAGCTTTAGTAATATATGTATATGGCTCCCAGACCTGAATGACAATCGGGAGCACAAGAAAGCAATATGGGTCTGGGAGCCTTATTAAAGGAGCACTATGGGGTAATTCGGATCCTGAATGCCATTCGGGTCTGGGAGCCTCAGCTTTAGTATTGGTTTTCTGTGGTATTCGGAACGAATATTCATAAACTCATCCGAAACTAAGGAAAATTCTGATTTCCTCTGAATTTGAAACACGAACCGAATTGAATTTCGGATCCGAGTCCCGAAATAACGAAATATCCAAACCGAGCCAAATGTTTCCGCAGCTTACATGTCTACTTTTCTCTGTCTTTTCGTACGTTGCGCTGTCCTATTCAAAGATTCTGTGTCTTTCGTAAAAAAAAACATTCATGTTCCCGGTCTTACTGATTGCATTTGTCTTCTCCTGCTGACAGGTGGCTGCACCTCTACGCCGCGAGAGGGCTGAGGAGTCTGGCTTATGCCGCAGCTGAACGCTACCTGCAGTATGGCAAGCTGGACCTGAAGGAGCATAATGGGAAGGTACCAATACGATAATGATATGTGTGCCTGTAGCTCAATGTAAAGATCAACTAGGGCCAACGTGTTTTTCGGGAGCCAGAGATCGCCCCTTCATCAGGGCTTGGAGATGAGAAACAATGTATATAGACCTGACTGCATGAAGAATACAGTGTATGTGGTATCTTATATAACAGAACTCCAGCAATGCCTTGACTCTGGAATTGTTTATAGATCTTACATCAAATAGTAGCATCCTTGTGCAGTGTGGTGTGAAGCGGGGGCTTTTAGTATGATAGAGGATGACAATTAGGAAGGGGGAGGGGCTCATTATCACACAGGGAGATTTTCTAGCCTGTTGGAAGCTAAGCTGATTGTCACCAATGAAACATTAAAGCTAACCACACCCCCTTATGTACCGATGCCCAATAAAGAGGACCACAAGATATTGGTGAGGTTCTCTTCGCAGTGGGTGGGGCTTCAGGCAAGTGAGTGGCGGTAAAACAAATAACCTTGATTATAATTGCATGTACCAGTCAGGTTTCATGTGACCTTATCCAGCTTTCCTCCATCCAGACTCCGCTCCTGGTGGCCGTCACAGCCAACCAGCCTGAGATCGTCTATGACCTGATCAGGCTGGGCGCTGATGTCAGTGCTGCGGACTGCAAGGGGCAGACGGCCCTCCATGTTGCTGCAACCTACGGCTTGTCCGATGTCCTCAGAGTAAGTTCAAAGAAGAACTTCGCTAAGCGTTCTTTTGATACGTTTTACACAATGTGACAATATATGATCCCTATAAGTCTTTCACTTCCACATGAAGGTCAAGTAAGGTCCTTCAAACCCACCCATTTTATCAAACATTTCAACTCTTGGCCATATTGAGGAACAAGGCTGTTGGCACTTTTTTCTGGGTGCTGAGGAACGTTCAGTGGTGAGCACCCAACATACTGTATGTTGACGTTGGACGTTCTTTATATAGTATTCAGTAGTGGGTATCATCAACTTGAAGAACCGAGAGTCTCTTTGACGTGTGGTTTTCAGTGAAAACGTCTAAGTAAGCCATAACCCACCACCTCTGGAAGCCCCAATCCTATAGCAGGAACACTCATGGAGAAAGATGCAGGAAATGCTCCGTGAACATTATTTGGGCTTGGCTTCCTTGACTTTGAGACTAATCCACACCCATATATCATCACCGTGTCCAATAAGCGTGCCTAAGAGCCCATTATGGGTGCTAAAATTGGGCAGCTGGATGACGTGTGTGTGGGGCTTAGCCCTAAAGGGAAAATCAGGCGGAGGGTTTGGGGGTCATTGAAGGCCCAGCTCCAGCCACAACATTTTTCTTATTACTTAGGACCCCCCAAACCTACTTTCTGTTAAAATAGGAAGTGAAGGGAACGCTCTTCCATTAGGGTAACACACAACAATAAAAACCTAGAGTCATATACTCTTCCCAAGTCCAAGTCTTTCTTGAGGTAACAATAATATCTTGTGGTTACCTGCAAACGCTCCACCTCACATTCCAAATAGGTGTACAAAGAGAAGATGTCTTTCCGATTCTTTCCTCTGTTTCATCTCCATTTTGTTTCAGGTCTTCCTGGCTCTGCCGCATCAGAAGAACCTCGACCTAGAGGCCACAAATTATGATGGTGAGTCGAGCAACGTTATCCATTCCTAAAATTTGGTTGGCCATCGGCCGGACATATTTGATCCAACAGTTGCAACTTTTTAATGTTGTTAGCAACAGCCGGCAGAATGTTGACTTGTGAGAGTTTGCAAGGGCTGTAGGTACTTATTTTTCCACAGAGGCCCCTGCCATCGGTGTCGGCAATTGTTCCTTGTTCTTCGATGAGTGAAGGAAGAGTGTCTGAAAAGAACAATCTAGAGGCTGAATGTCAACTCTAACTTGTTTATTTGGATTGGTTGGGGAGGGGGTTAGATCTCCTGAAACTTTTGATTGTTGTGTGGTCAACGGAACAGGAAGTAGGGAGACATGAACAGTAACAAAGGGGTTCTGAGTAGGGATGTGCCGATACTGATACTAGTATCGGTGCCGATACCGAGTATTTGGACGAGTACTCTTCCAAATGCTCTGATACCCTCCCCAATCAGAGGACGATTTCCTATGACCTTCAGTGCTGTAGGAGAACATGAAGCCGACTTCACGTGCTATCAGGGAGCTGGGCGGTGCTAATGACCCGCCTCCCGGCTTCCTGCTGTGTGTAGTTGTTCTTTTCAGACACATGAACATGAAGCCGGCTTCCTGTGCGATCAGGAAGCTGGGCGACGAGTAATGACCCGCCTCCCAGCTTCCTGATTGGCCGGGAAGCCGGCTCCATGCTGATTGACCGGTAAGCCGACTTCCCGGCCAATCAGCATCGAGCCACCGAACAGCCGCCTCCTTGCTGATTGTCCAAGAAGTCGGCTTCCTGGCCAATCATCATCGAACCAGCTTCCCGGCCAATCAGGAAGCTGGGAGGCGGGTCATTACCAAGCACAATCAAGCCGGCCAAACAACATGGAGCCAGCTGCTTGGGCAATCAGATTGCCCGGGAAGCCGGCTCCATGCCAGCAGAAGCACCGGTATAGGTACTCATTATCGTCGAGTGCCGAAAGCAAAATATCGGTACTCAATACCAAAAAAACTATATCGGTGCATCCCTGGTTCTGAGCCTTCCACCATCTATGTAGAAATTACTGTTTGGTGTTCCACTAGAATTGCATGAAACTGTAGAGGTCACCGTGAATGTTTTCTGTCCTTCCAGGTCTGACTCCGCTTCATTGTGCAGTGATAGCTCAGAATAATGCCTACAAGAACAGCCAGAACACCCCGAGCGCCCAGCAGCATGAGAGAGAGACCCTGTCATGTGTCCAGCTCCTGCTCCAGATGGGGGCCAACCTCACCAGTCAGGTACCGTCCACAGCTAACCTAATTATGAGTGAGTGGAAGGAATGGGGCCAGAGTGAAAAGCCAGTTGTTGGTGCCTTATTCAATTCTACACATGCTGCCAAGAAGCTTGCAGGCCCTGCCGGGGGGGTTTTGTAAGAACATCCAGGATTTGGAATTTTTCAAATAAAGCTTTTATCATTGTAGTTTACATTTATATAAATAGCAGTTTATGAACTTGTAAGTGTGAAATTAAATTGATCTCTAAAAGTGTGGCACTCATTGGAGGTATAATGGCCCTTTTATAAAGACTCCCCATTCAGGTGCTGGTGGAGCTCTAAATTAAACCCGACTTTCTTAAACAGGAAATTAAAAGCAACAAGACGGTGCTCCACCTAGCCGTCCAGGCCGGGAACATCCCCCTTGTGACCTTCTTCCTCCAGATGCCCCACATCGATCTGGCCATGTTCATCAACATGAAGGTGAGTCAGTCTCTCGTAACGGTGGTGCAGATCTGGCCCTCGCCTAACCCCCGTCTGTCTCTTCCACAAACTGACATCGCTGCGTTTCCTCTCCGCTCTTGTAGGCTCATGGGAACACGGCATTGCACATGGCTGCTGCGTTGCCTCCTAACCGTTCCACCGAGTACCTGATCCAACGTCTGCTCTTCAATGGAGGCGATCCGAGCGTGCGCAATCTGGAGAATGACCAACCGGCCCACCTGGTGCCCCCGGGGGAGTTGTCGGAACAAGTAAGTACATTGCAGACAGCAGCTCCACTGCTAGGCTCACTGAGCAACCATTGGTAGATAATCAGAACCCAAGTTGGGTAAACACAGCTAGGAGGGAGGGAAGGAAGGCCTTTTTTTTAAATATACTGTAACTGGATAACAACTGCTTTGTAGTCCATTCAGATATTGTCTATAGATGGCTTAAATACCCCAGCTCAGCAGTCAAGAGAAAATGTTAACCCATTTTATTTTAAGGGGAGGGTTTCAGCAATTTTAAACTATTAAAAGTTTCCTTTTTGGGGTGCTAATTTAACTGGCCATTTGCAGGTGGATGGAGGCTTGTCCCCAAATCATGGAAATGCCTTCAGGAACAAAGTGAAAGCCATTAAAGAAGCGTGAACACAAGAGGGATGATAGGTGAATATGGTGATACATGGCATCTCACGCCTTCTGCTGTTGAACACGGCTTTTACATATAAAGGGGCAGACAGGTACTCTTTGAAAGGGTGCAAATTTTGTAATTCTGAAAAGCATGCAGCCCCTGAAGTCCTAAGTCTGGACCCTGATCTA